AATAAATAAATAAATAAATAAATAAATAAATAAATAAATAAATTTTAAAAGGAGTTAAACACTTTCAAGTGTTTACTGGCCATTTGTATTTCTTTGAGAACTGTCTATTGAGTTCAGTATCCCATTATTGATTGGATTTGGGGTTTTTTTGGCGTTTAGTTTTTACCTTTCTTAACCCAAACATTCTTGCACTTATCACTTACTGTGGTGGCAAGGGCAGAGTGTGTAGTTAGAATGATGGTAGTTTCTGGTTGGATATAGGGTCTGGGAGTATCTACATACATACATATATGCACATACACATATACATATATACACAAGGTTTTGGTAAAACTTCCAAATATTCTTCCCAGACGTTCAAGAAGACCTAGAATTGTATACCACTTAAGTAAGAAATCAGCAATCAAGTACTATGGAGGCTGAAGTAAAAAGATTGAGAATTTGTCACTGGAAGCAAGATCATATCTCATGGTGGGGAAAAAAAAAGATCAACATGTTACTGCTGAGATACGGCACTTTGCCAAGCTAGGTGTTTTATATTTATCACTCTACTTAATCTCCACTCCTACCCAGTATGAATGACAGCAGGTTATGTTACAGATGCAGAGAGGCTAAATAAATAGTGGAGCTGGTATTTGAACCCTCAAACATGCCTCCCCAGTAGACTGATGTTTTTTTAGAGTGTCATGCTGTCTTTGAGAGAAAAAAAAGGCTGATATTTGAGCACATTACTATCTCAGCAGACTTCAATATGTATTTTCATTGCTTTCCTTTACAAGCTTGGGATTTTGAAGCCAAGAGATATTTTTGCATTGTATATTAGGTGATACCGCAAACACATTTCTTTGGCCTTTCAGCTCCAGTCACTGCAGTCTGAACTCCAGTTTAAAGATGCAGAAATGAATGAATTAAGGACCAGGCTTCAGAGCAGTGAACAAGCAAATAGACTGGCTGCTCCCACCAGGTCCCACATGAGGTAAAGAGATGCTGGAGGGATAGTTCAGCTTTGCATTGTCCTGCAAAAAGTCTGATAGTCGTGAGGCTTGTTCAGAATGAAGGTGGTTTAAGATGCTGCCTCTTCGGTAGAGGTCCTTTTTCCTGAAGGATGCAAGGGTGGCTTGGGTGAGGCATAATGATCTGAGACATTACAGAATAAATGATCTCACTCTAAGAGTGCTACTCTGAATGAGGCTTTGTTAGCTTAATTCCTTGAGACTAGAAAAAGTTGGAAAGATCACCTCCAGGTTTTTTTTAAGGGAAAAAAAGGTTTCTTTTGGCTCACAGCTCAAGGGATAGGGTCCTCATGACAGGGAAGGCATGGCAGCAGGAGCAGCTCACAGCCGGGCAGCTCGGGAAGCAGAAAGAGATGAATGCTGCTGTTCAGCTGGTTTCCTCATTTTTCCATTTTCATTCCATCTGGAAACCAGTCTGTGTATGGTACTACCCACATTTAGTAGGCCTTCCTCCAAATTTTTTTTTATTATTTTTTTTTATTTTATTTATTTATTATTTTTTTTTATTATTTTTATTTTATGTGTATGAGTGTATTGCCTGCATGTATGTGAGTGCGCCGTGTCGTGCAGTGCCACGGAGGTCAGAAGAGGGCTTCAGATTCCCCTGCAACTGGACTTATGGATGGTTCGTAGCCGGATGGTTCGTAGCCGCCATGTGGGTGCTGGGAATTGAACCCAGGTCCTCTGCAAGAGCAGTCAGTGCTCTTAACCACTGACCCATCTCTCCAGCCCCGTTCCTCCAAATTTTGAGGATAGACCAGCCTTCATTTTTATGTAATTTGTTTAACAGAACAATTTTTCCCCCAGGTATGAGTGTATTTCAGGTCTGGTTTTGTTCATTTGCTGTCTGAGACCTTTGTCTTACAGCTTCTTCTTTGCTGCCAGATGCACTCAGCTTGTTAAATGATCTGTGTTCAGTCCTCTGCCTGCCAGAGCAGTCTGGCATTGTCAGTATCAGCCTTGAAATTTGAGCTCTTTCTGGTGTGAAGCATTCTGCCACCTTTGCTCCTGTCAGGCAAAGTGTGAATTGAACTCTCCTTGCCCTTCATACTTCAGGTGAGACAGGAGAACAGAGGAAATCTATCCTCACCTCTTCACATTCACACATCAGTTACAGGAAAGCCTGGCTGCTGAATGATCAGAGGACTGACACTGCTGTCTAACTGAAGCCATCAGTGCTTGGGAGCTGTCTTAGTTTTCAACACACTTTCTCATAGACCCTCTTTCTTTCAAAGATTTTTTTTTTTTTTTAGTTTATTTTTATGTGTATGAGTATTTTGCCTACTTAGATATAAGTACACATGTTATGCAGTGCCCACAGAAACCAGAAGAGGGCATTGATCCCCTGGAATTGTAGTTACAGAAGGTTGTTAGCTGCCATGCGGGTGCTGGGAACTGAACCCAGGTCCTCTGCAAGAGAAGCCAGTACTTTTAACCACTGAGTCATCTCTCTAGCCCCCAATTTTTTTTTGGTCTTTTTGAGACAGGGTCTCCCTGTAGCCCCAGCTGTTCTAGAACTCACTATGTAGACCAGGCTGCCCTTGAACTCACAGAGATCCGCCTGCCTCTGCCTCCCTGAGTGCTGAGATTAAAGGTGTGTGCCACCACGCCCGGTGAATATTTTTTTAATGTTTTTAATATTATTTTTATTTTATGTGTATGGTTGTATTATCTGTATGTATGTAAGTACAGCCATGTTGTACAGTGCCCTCAGAAGGCAAAGTTCAGAAGAGGGCATCAGATTCCCCTGGAACTGGAGTTACAGACAGTTGTTAGCTGTCATGTGGATGCTTGGAACCAAACCCTGGTGCTCTTCAAGAGCAGCCAGTGCTCTTAACCACTGAGCCATTTCTCTAGCCAAAGATTTTTTTTTTTTTTTTTAAACTGCATTTTCTATGTATCTGTGTGTACTTGTGAATGCAAGTGCTCACTGAAGCCAGAAGAGTCCAGTGGCTCCCCTGGAGCTGGTGGTTTTAAGCTGCCCCACACAGATGCTGGGAACTAAACTTGGACACTCTGCAGTATGCACTCTTAACTGTTGAGCCATTTCTCCAGCCCTGTGAAAGTTTTTGGATTCAATCACTGACTACTTAAAAATTGAGTTCTTTAAGCAGGGTGTGGTGGCTCAGGCCTTTAATCCCAGCACTCGGGAGGTAGAGGCAGGCAGATCTCTGTGAGTTCAAGGTCAGCCTGGTCTACATAGTGAGTTCCAGATCAGCTAGGGCTACGGGGAGACCCTGTCTCCAAAAAAAAGACCAAAAGAAAAATTGAGTTGTTCAACATTGAAAAGACTTTGTGTGTGTGTGTGTGTGTGTGTGTGTGTGTGTGTGTGTGTGTGTGTAATTGGAAATAGTAAAGGACTTACAGCCAGCCAATATTTGGGGGTGTTCAAGAGAATATGAAAATAAATATTTTTTTGGTAATTTAGATCAAAATGTGTTGTTTTGAAATGCATTCCTGGACAAAAAGAATGACATATCCATAACTGATGAAACCTTTGGTCAAAATGCCTAAGCATGAAAAGTTTAAATTACATTGGAAATGTTATAACCAAGTATTTTAAGTAGATTTAACAGAGTCATTACTTTGTTTTCATAGTTAACTTTTTCCAGTCCTAGGAAAAGCTTTTCTGTGGTTATAAAGCCAGAAGCATGTTCTCCATACTTTGGAAAATCAACTTTCCCTACAAAGGAGTCTTTTAGTGCTAACATGCCACTCTCCTATCCCTGCCAGTCAGAGGCAGGATGCAAGTCTCTGGTGGGCCGAGAGAGTAAGTCAAACTATTAGTCATCTATTGCTGTATAACTGACTATCCCAGGTAGAAACCTAGAACAATGATATTTGCCTTTTCCCAAGTGAGGATACACAGAAACCTTGTGGACTGAAGGGTCTGTTTTAAGGAGGCTCATTTAGATGGCTAACATAATTCCTCTAGCAAAAGATCATCTCACATTCATAGTTTTCACTCTGAGACTATGCTGTTCCAGTTTATCTTATAATTAGATCCTGTTGCTCTCTTCGCACCACCAGCCTTTTCAAATCATTGGCTGTTGCTCTTCTCCTGAGAAATTGCCCCACATTTTTGTTGTCTCTAACTAAAGGGGCACTACCTGTAGTGTTATAAGCAGGCAAAGCCCAACAGCCTGGATTTAAGTCCCAACCACATTAGTAGCTTATGTGATCTGGGCAAAAGCATTAACCACTGTACCTCAGTTTCTTTACATGTAAAACATCAAATATCAGATGACCCTTGTAGAATTGCTCTACAAAACAAATGGCTCATTTGTAAAATTCATGGAGTAATCTCTAACACATGCAGAGCTCTGCATGAATGTTAGTGGTTACTATTTTCATCATATTGCTTCATTTAAAGTGAAGCAGTTTGATTTTCTTTTTCTTACCTTATGTGAATTCCCATTTTTCATGAATAAAACAAAAAGATCTAAAGGGTCTTGAGCTGTTTCAGCTGTGTTTTGATCGAGGTTTGAAGGAGACAATATCCAGTCTTATAAATTCATTACATCTAAGAGTTTCTAACACAATTGTGCTTTTGTGCTCAGCTTTTGATTCCCATTTTATCTAGTTTCAGATGAGACTCACAATCTGAGAAGTAACATCATAAAACCTGCTGTGCAGCAGAAAACTCTTACTGAGAGCTGGATGCAAAGATCCAATACTCAAGGTACCAGAATACCCCCTGCTTTTCTCCAGGTGCCTGCATGGCTCTCATTGTCCTCTGGATGTATGGAATTGCCTAAGGAGCTATTTGAGAACTCCATTTTCAGGCAGGCCTCTAGAGACAGGCATGTAGAAGTCTACAACTTAACTGGAAGACTTTTTACAAGGAAAGGCCAAGTCAGCACAGTGGTGTGTGCCTATAGCCCCAGCTATTTGGAAGCCAAGATAGGAGGATCCCTTGAGCCAGGAGTTTAAGGCCAACCTATGCAACATTGTGAGCTCTTGGTTCTAAAAATGGAATAAAGTGGTCCGGCAAGATGACTAAATGGGTGAAAGTGCCTGCTGCCAAGCCTGACAAACTAATATCAGTGCTAGGGCCTACATAGTGGAAGGAAAGAACCAATTCCCACAAGTTGTCCTCTGACCTTCGCATGTATTCTGTGGCATTCCTCATCCCTTGCACACAAAATAAATTTTAAAAAAAATTTTTTTGTCTGTTTTTGAGACAGGGTCTCCTTGTAGCCCCAGCTGTCCTGGAACTCACTATGTAGACCAGGCTGGCCTTGAACTCACAAAGATTTACCTGCCTCTGCCTCCCAAGTGCTGGGATTAAAGGCATGCACCACCACGCCCAACATTATTTTTATTTTTTATGTGTATGTGTGTATTGCCTACATGTCAGTAAGTGCACCCGTGTCATGCAATGCCCAAGGAGGTCAGAAGAGGCTGTCGGCTCCCCTAGGCCTGGAGTTACGGACAGCTGTTAGCTGCCATATGGGTACTGGGATTCGAACCCAGGTCTTCTGCAAGAACAACCAGTGTTCTTAACCGCTAAGCCATCTCTCCAGCCCCTATTATTATTTTTTAAAAGGGCCAATTACTGGACATGGTGGCACGTGCTTTAATCCCAGCACTTGGGAGGCAGAGGCAGGTGGATTTCTGTGAGATCAAGGCCATCCTGGTCTACATAGCAAGTTCCAGGCCAGCTGGGGCTACAGGGAGGCCTGTCTCAAAAAACTAAAGGGGCTGGAGAGATGGCTCAGTGATTAAGAACATTGACTGTTCTTGCAGAAGACCTGGGTTCGAATCCCAGTACCCACATGGCACCTAACAACTGTCCGTACACGGGTATTACATGACAGGTGCACCTACCTACATGCAGGCAATACACGCATACACATAAAGTAAAAATAATTTTTTTTTTTTTTAATTTGAAGGTCAAGAGCAGGTATGTCCCAAAGACTTCTGTACCCACAGGCATTGTAGTAGAGCTTAGCAGCTTAGAGAATGGCTGAACCCAAAGATCCCTCACCTCTTCCTTCTGAGGCCAGAGCCAAGCTTGATGACACAGGCTTGTAATCCTAGCACTTGAGAGGCTGAGGCAGGAGAATTACAAATTGAAGGCAAGGGTGGGCAACATGGCGAGACCCCATCTTGAAAAAGAGGAAGGGAAGAAAGCCATGTCAGAACCTCGTAGAGTCTCCTTGTCTTTTACAGGTTCCATTTTGATAAACCTGCTCCTGAAGCAGCCTTTGATCCCAGGGTTATCTCTAGGTCTCTGCCACCTCCTGAGCAGTTGTTCTGAGGTTCCTACTGGCACTCTCTCACAGCCACCAGGACTTGGCAGGTAGGCATGAGACTCCTAAAAAGTTTGTTTGGGAAGGATTTTTCAGGAAGTATGTCTTTCTGGCTCTGGCCAACTTGAGAGATCTGTGGAATGTGTAGGAAGGCTAGAGAACTCAGTAGACAGGTAATTTGGGGCCCTTGACCTTATCTGTTTTCCTTTGTTTTTGCCAGTAACTTGATTGGGATTTCAAGCCTCAAGGCCACAGGTTCTCGTGATGGGTTGTTTTCCCCCTCTACCTTGAGAGAAGCACAGAACTTGGCACTCACTGGACTAAATCTGGTTGCCAGGAATGAAGAAGGCTCACATGATGGAGACCCAGAAGCAGAAAGCAGAAGAGTCTTCCCACTCTGCCACCTTCCTGGAGCTGTGCACATCCTCCCACTTGTACACTTCTTCATTGGTTTGCACTGTCAGGCTCTGCAGGATTTAGCTGCAGCTAAGAGGAGTGGCACCCCTGGGGGCTCTCCAACACGTACATCCTGTGTGAGCTCTGGAGCAGAGGCCAACTCTGAGGACTCCCTCTGCAACCTGGAAAGCTTCTCTGTGGCTTCACTTAGCATCCTTCAGCACCTGGTGTGCCACAGCGGAGCAGTTGTCTTCCTGTTACTGTCAGACATGGGGACAGAATCTGCTGACAGGGAAGGAAATGGGTACCTAGGTCAGACTCATACAGATGTGATCTCAGCCCCCAGGGAGGCGGAGGATGACCAACGACAGCATCCACTGTTGAAGATGCTTCTTCAACTGTTGGCTTTCTCTTCTGCAGCATCAGGTCACTTTCAAGCCAATGTCCTGAGTCAGTGCCTCAAGGTTTTGGTGAAATTAGCTGAAAATGCTTCCTGTGATTTCTTGCCCAGGTATAAAGCAATACAGGAAGCATGATTCCATGTGGGTGACCTCTTTCACTAACCTGTGGCCCCTATACTTTGCTCATGTTTTGACTTACGTCTTCTACGTGGCTATAAGGCTTGGTTCAGAGAGTTCTGAAGTGATGGGCAGTGGGGCCAGGTATAGAGAGAACCAAGTAAGTGATTTGTTTGGTTTAATTCCATCTCTAAACATCAGGTAAGCAAGGGACACACATGATAAAGTAGGCTATAAGCCACTATGGAAGAGAATTTTGTCCCAGGACAAAGGCTGAGCTAAGAGACCTTTGAGCTTGAGATGTTGATAGGTGAAGAACATATAGTATAACATATTTAACCTTGGTATTGTGTAAGGAAGCTGAGTGTCAGGAGGCGCTACATCAACGAGCTGCCCTTGCTAGGACTCATCCTTGTGTCTACCTCTCTTATGAGTCACAGGTCACTTGCTACTTAAGAGTTGTCACTTCAGAAGTGTTATACAAACATCGTTATACATTTTTTTAATTTAAAAATTTTTTTCTGTGTATGAGTGTATTGCCTACATGTATATAAGTGCACCTGTGTTGTGCAGTGTAAACAGAGGTCAGAAGTAGGCATCGGTCCACTGAAACTGGAGTGATAGACAGTTGTTAGCCACCATGTGGGTGCTGGGAACTGAACCCAGGTCTTCTGCAAGAACAGCCAGTGCTCTTAGCCACTGAGCCATCTCTCCAGCCCTGTTATTATACATTCTTAACTTGTGAGTTCAGAGACTCCAGAGCAAGATAGACTCAGCCTACCACCTCATCCAGTCATCCATTTTTCCTCACTACATGCTTGCAGGAGGCCAATTCCTGTGTTAAGAATAATACCACTGCCTAGGTGCATCTTAAGTTTCATCTCTGCTGACTATGATAGCACATCCTGAGTGCTTTAATCCCAGCACTCAGGAGGCAGAGGCAGGTGGATCTCTGAGTTTGAGGCCAGCCTGGTCTTAAGTGTTCCAAGCCAGCCGGGGCTAAATAATAAGACCCTGTCTCAAAAAACAAAAAAGTCTCATCTCTGAGCTTAGCATGCCTATTTAGTACTTCCAGATCCTAATTTCCATGTGAATATTTTTTGGCCTGTCTGATGTGCCCTAAAGTGGTGCTTGGAATTGAACATGACACTGCAGTGCAGAATATAGGCAATAGGTAGGAACAGAATTGTCACCCACAGGCCCAACTTATACTGCTAGTTGTTTGTTTCCTATGTCTTAAGTGAATGAATCCCAGAAACCATGTTTATCCCTCATTTCACCTCATTTCATTCATGTTGGGTTGGTCCACAGGGGTATTCAGAACAGAGTTATCTAATGGGTACTTCTACAGGTACTGGTTCAGGTGACACTCATGACTCTGCATTCTATACATCTCACATAGCCTGGCTCATTCTAAATGCTCAGTATTTGTTGAATAAAACCCATGTTGAAGCAAGAAAATTTGTCTGAAAATGCCACAGGGAACATGCCAGGGCAGGTTCAAAGCTAGTACCCTGAACCATTGCCCTATCACTCTGACACACACACTCAGTACTTCTCTGCAGAATTCCTCATGTTCAAGTTGAACATGTACCCCACTACTTCACCTTGCAATGAAAGCCAGGTTGGGGTGCTATCAGGTTTCTAAAGCAGGATGTGATGCAATGCAAGTAGCCAATGTTTGCTCCTATCATTGCCTCCCAGGCTTAAAAACAAATCACCCTTAACTAGAGAACATGATCCATTCACTATGAATAATGGGGCTGTACATAACTTATCTTTTTCCTTTTGAGAAATGATCTCACTATATAGCCCTGGCTGGCCTGGAACTAGCTATGTAGACTAGGCTGACTTTGAATGCAGATATACCTGGCATAACATTTCATTTTAAAGGGAGGTCCTAAGGCTATGGAAATCAATGGTGAATTTTTTTTCCCCCAGATATCTTCAGGGGCCTTAAGTGGACTAGTTAGGGCCAGGTAGGACTAGTTAGGCTAGGTAGCAATCAAGTTAAACTCCAGTTTCCCACAAAGATCCACAGTACTTGCAACAAAGGAATGTGTAACATCTTGCCTGTTGGCAACAGTGAGCCCTTGCTTCCGAGTCACACTGGGATATTCTCAACCTCCATGCTGTGCTGAGACCTACAGATGTATGAAGGGGTATGCAGTTGGCAGGCTCAGTGTTATAGATGACCCCTCTCCCCACCCACTAGACCAGTTTTCCCTCATGCTGCTGCAGACAATGTAGATAGAGCTAATCAAGCCCTTGGGGCCTGTGGGTCCTTGATCATAGCTATCCCATTCTCAGACCTGAGAGAGAAATATGTCATTGCCCCTCACCTGTGCACGTTCCACAGTGGGTAGCTTTTCACACTGGCAGCAGAGGAAACCAGTGTTTTCTGAGAAGTGGAGAAAAATGGTTTTCCTTACTCTGAGTGGTCTCATAAAATTCAGTTGTAGCCAAGTCCATGTTTGTTAATTTTGGGATCCTGGCCAGTCCTGTCTATGGTAGTAGACAAAGGGACATTTCCCATGCCCAAGGTACAACCTGCAGCCCTGTTTGAGAGCAGAAGTGGGAAGGATCCTGGGAGCATGGTCAGACATGCCAGATGCTGGGGATCCTCTCCCATTTGCTTAACAACAGCATTGAGGAGCCTTTTTTGGAGGGGGCATTATGGGATGAGTAAAGCGGGAGCTCCGGTAACCCAGGTTCATCTCCAACTCACTGTGTAGTCACACCTGCCTCTGCCTCCCAACTTCTGATTTTACAGGCATGCACTGCCATACCCAGATGAGGGCAGTTCTGTAGTAACTCACGGTTGGTATCTATTCCCTTGAGATAGCCTCACAGCAAGTAGGCTGTGGTCAGGCCAGCATTTAAACCCAGGTCTAGCTGAATTGAGTCTCCTTTTGGAAAGTGTCATAACTCTTCTATGCCCATCCTTCAGGTTCTCCTGTGTATTGCCAATGCTGCCACAGTGTCTCAACCCAGAGCTGCCACTGCCTTGTGTGCTGCTGGCTGTTGAGCTGCTCTCCCTCCTGGTGGACCATGATAGCCTTGCACAGCAGCTGTGTTCCCACTCAGGTGAAGCAAGGCAGGCTGGGTCTCAACTATTCCTGCAGCTGGTGGGAGGGACTGGGGCAGGGGCAGGGACAGGTTCAGAGCCTCCCAGGGTCCTCTGCACTTGTACCCCAGGCTCCAATGAGATGGGGGACCCTGAGTGAGGATGGGCATCCTTTTCAGAAGGTTGCCTTCTCCTGCGGCTGTACATATACATCATATCAAGGCCTGACAAAGTGGCCTCGGAAACACAGTGGCTTCAACTGGAACAAGAGGTAAGAATGAGACCCTTCATGCCTTCTTAAGAGCCCAGAATCACCATTCCACCTGTAGGCAAAATGGAGGCTACAAGTTGATACCTGTTAAAACAGCAAGAGGAAAAATTTAGGGGTTCCTCACACAGATGCAATACAGGTGTATCCCAAGTTGTCATGGGATGCAGCAGAACTCATGGATAGTGCTGTCTTGGGTTTGAGGCCTAGTACCTGGAGGCAGGTGGATTGTTGGTGAGACTCGGGTGCTGGTTCCAGGTCTGGCCCAGATGCCCCACACCATCACTTCTTGGTCCCTACTTGTGCAGACAAGCAGTTGCAGAAGCCTTTGCAGTGACAAGTGTCTTGCTCTTCAAGGGATGAATACAAATCTCTTCTTGTTCCAGGTGATATGGCTCCTGGCCAAGCTGAGTGTGCATAGCCCTTCTCCCCCAGTCACTGGTTCTGACTGCCAATGCAATGTGGAGGTAAGTGGCCAGGGACCAACAGCATAATAGCTCAATTAGTGGGTAAGCTGAATAGGGCATTAGGCCACAGACACCCAGAGACTTCAGTCTACCCTCTCACCCCAGGTAGTCAGAGCGCTCACCATGATGCTACACAGACAATGGATGACCATGCGGCGGGCAGGGGGGCCCCCAAGGACCCACCAGCAGAAGCGGACGGTGCGCTGTCTGCGAGACACAGTGCTGCTGCTGCATAGCCTGTCTCAGAAGGACAAGCTCTTTACTATGCATTGTGTGGAGGTCCTGCATCAGTATGACCAGGTGATGCCAGGAGTCAGCATGCTGATTCGAGCCCTACCTGATGTGACTGACTGTGAAGGTGAGCCAGCGAGAGGACCCTTCCTGTCCTAGCCTTCATGTGGGCTCTGCTGAGGTTCATGAGCAAGTCGGGTTCTTGTGCTGGACTTCAGCAGGCCTTGCCCTGCCACCATAGCCTTTCCTGGCTCTAGGGATAGTCCCTTTCTGCTCTGGTTTCTTTGAGTACACTTGATCATATATTGAATTGGCCTAGCTAAGCCATGTTTTTTCCAGAAATAACTGGGTCTGAATTGCCTTTGTATTATTTTGCTCACAGTAGCTGAGGGAGCAGGGCCTGGACCTGGACAAGACTAGTTAGTTCCTGTGGGTACTAGGGGAGGAGAGGTGGACCTCCAACCCCCAGCACCTTCAAGCTTCATCTCAGAACCTCTTTTGACTCAGAGGCAGCCTTGGACGACCTCTGCGCTACAGAAACAGACACGGAGGACCCGGAAATGGACTGTAGCTGAGGCCCTGAGCATCCAGCCACAAGGTGGCACCAGCTCCCGCTGCTGCCCTTAACCTCGTCATGAGCATGTCGGGTTCTTGTGCTGGCCTTCAGCAGGCCTTGCCCTGCCACCATAGCCTTTCCTGGCTCTAGGGATAGTCCCTTTCTGCTCTGGTTTCTTTGAGTACACTTGATCATATATTGAATTGGCCTAGCTAAGCCATGTTTTTTTCCAGAAATAACTGGGTCTGAATTGCCTTTGTATTATTTTGCTCACAGTAGCTGAGGGAGCAGGGCCTGGACCTGGACAAGACTAGTTAGTTCCTGTGGGTACTAGGGGAGGAGAGGTGGACCTCCAACCCCCAGCACCTTCAAGCTTCATCTCAGAACCTCTTTTGACTCAGAGGCAGCCTTGGACGACCTCTGCGCTACAGAAACAGACACGGAGGACCCGGAAATGGACTGTAGCTGAGGCCCTGAGCATCCAGCCACAAGGTGGCACCAGCTCCCGCTGCTGCCCTTAACCTCACCCACTGATTAAAAAGTTACCCAGCAGTTCCTGCTGAGAACATCACCCTCGTTTTCCGAGTCCGATTTGTGTTCCTGAGAGGGAGGGGGAGAGCAGAACAGGACGCCTAGGCTTGTGTTCAGCCCTCGGACTGGAATTAGGATGGTCCCCAGGGTAACTAATCTGCCTAGAGGGAAAACCCTGCCCTGCTTCTGGAATTCCTGAGTCATAGCTCTGGTTTTGGGCCATGGGAAGAAGCCATTATGTGACAGGGAGCAGCCCTTAGCCCAGCCCTGCACCAGTAAGGCCTGGGAAGGAGGGCCAAGGACCAGGGGCAAGACAAGGCATGAGTCATGGCAGGGGCTCACAGCCACATTTGAGTCCTGGAGACAGCCCAAGCAGTCTGCCCGAGCTCTCAATGGTGGGGGCCCAGTACAGTGTACCAGCCAGCAGAACCACAGCTGTGGATCTAGGAAGTCCTTTGCGAGTTCTTAGAGAAGGAGGGACTTCAGCAAATAAGGACCAGACCCGGCAGGCTGACTAGCAGGGCGGACCTTGCTTATGAGGCAGGCCTGTGGGTGGACCCAGGCAGTTTCACTTCCCGCCACTGCTGCCGGCAGCAAGACCAGCCGAGAGAGTGCCTAGCAGGGCTGTTGCTGCCTGCCAGTCTGCTTGGTAAGTGTGGACCTTTAAGGGGTTGGGGTAAAGGCAGAAAAGTTATGGGTTTCCCCTCACCCATCTAGGTGGGCATTAGGGAAGGGGCCCCCTTCCCCAAAGGGACAATATGGTATGACTTTCCCACTAGGAAAACCACCCCATTGTCTCCAGCTTCCACTTGTGAAAATGGGGCCTGGAATAGTACCTGACTTCCAGGAAGGATAGCCTGAGCTGTGCTAATGCCTACACTCTACCCCACCCCTGCCCTGGCCTACTTTAGACTTTCTACTAGCACTCATCTACCCCCTGCCCCTCCCCAGGCTCAGCATGGGCTCACAGGCCCTACCCTCTGGTCCCATGCAGACCCTCATCTTCTTGGACCTGGAAGCCACTGGCCTGCCCTTCTCCCAGCCCAAGGTCACAGAGCTGTGCCTGCTGGCTGTCCACAGATGGGCCCTGGAGAACACCTCCATCTCTGGGGGGCAGCCACCTCCAGTGCCCTCGCCACCCCGGGTAGTGGACAAGCTTTCCCTGTGTGTGGCTCCAGGAAAAGCCTGTAGCCCTGCAGCCAGTGAGATCACGGGTCTGAGCACAGCCAAGCTGGCAGCACATGGGCGTCAATGCTTTGATAACAATCTGGCCAACCTGCTCCTAGCCTTCCTGCAGCGCCAACCACAACCATGGTGCCTTGTGGCACATAATGGTGACCGCTATGACTTCCCCCTGCTCCAGGCAGAGCTTGCTATGCTGGGCCCTACCAGTCCTCTAGATGGTGCCTTCTGTGTGGACAGCATTGCTGCCCTAAAGGCCTTGGAACGAGCTAGCAGCCCCTCAGAGCATGGCCCAAGGAAAAGCTACAGCCTGGGTAGCATCTACACTCGCCTATACGGACAAGCACCAACAGACTCTCACACAGCTGAAGGTGATGTTCTAGCCCTGCTCAGCATCTGTCAGTGGAGGCCACAGGCCCTATTGCAGTGGGTGGATGCTCATGCCAGGCCCTTCAACACCATCAAGCCTATGTATGATGTTACAGCCACTGCTGGGGTCAACCCAAAGCCATCTGCTGCCATGACCACTGCACCCCTGGCCACAGCCAACAGTCCCAGCCTCAGCAGGAGCAGGCAACCCAAGGCTCTTCCTCCAATGAAGATCCCAGAAGCCCCACCCCACGAGGGGCTACTGGCCCCACTGAGCCTGCTGGCCTTCCTGACCTTGGTAGTAGCCACACTGTATGGACTTTTCTTGGCCTCACCTGGACAGTAGGCCAAGAGGAAAAGTTTGACTAATAAAGACTCCCATAGCACTGAGTGCTTTCTTGACGACGCCCATGTTCTTTGGCAGCCCGGGCCCATACTCGGAGCCCTGGGGATGGGACACAGTTCCTGTCCCTTGTTCTTTGAGCAGGATCATGAAACCTATGAAGTCAATAAAAGTAGGAAAAGGAAGTTTAAAGGGTAGATGGAAACAGTATCTGGTACACAGCCTGAAGGCCAGCAGCCTAGGCTTTGAAGAAAGGAAAAGCAGCTCCAAATGTTCACATTTATTATAAACAAGGATGCAGAGCCTAGATGCTCAGAAATACCAACAGACACAAAGCTAAGACAGCTGGTGACACATTGCCAAGGAACACCGAGGTATTCGTATCTGGGCCAGAGCTACCACCCAGATCCTCCCACCCCTACCCCACCTTTGGTCCAGGCATCCCCTTGACCCTGGTGTCCCTGCTGCCAGGACAAACTGGACTGTGGTACATGAGCCAGTACGATGAAGCTGGTTTCTGGGACTATCAGAGGTCAGGCTGTCCTCCAGGAGCCAAGGGTTTCAACCTTGTATCAACTATCATGTTTGAAGACAGAAAATAGGCAAAATGTTTAGCTAAAAGTAAAAAACACTGCAGGGAGAAGACCTGAGTGTGTTGGTGGACCAGAGGCCCACCTTGCCCACCTGTGGCAGGAGCTGGGCCAGAAAAGGTAAGAAAGCTTCCCCACCAGAACCATGAGAGCATATGACTCTCCAAGCAGTCCCAGGGAAGATGCAGGGACAGTTCAGACATACAGCTGTTGGTAGGTAGGTGGCTACCTGGTGTGCTTTAACATCAGGAGGGGACCCACCCCACTGAGAATGGCACAGACTCCAGGGAACAACAGCACATCTGCACACAACACAGCTTCAGCCTAGTCTGCCCTTTGTTCTGCTCACCTGCCTATCTCTCTGGCTGCAAAACGCAGCTAAGCCTGGGGACAAGCCATGGCCCTAAGCAACAGCTAGCTGGTTACTCCTTAAAGCAGGACACATGCCCCTAAAAAGCTGTCCTAGTGTGACAGGCCACAGCTGGTCACCCTTAGGTGAACTGGAAAAGACCTACCACCTCATTGTTTTTGAGTTTGCTTGAGATTTCAGGAAGCATAATTTCAAGTGAAGAATAAAACAAGTTGGTCCTGGCCCTCTCTGGGAAGGATCTGTCCCCACCTGGTCAGCATCAGAGGAAGCCACATATCAAAAGGGCACACACACCACACACAGCAGTAAAGAACCGTGCCTGTATACCCCTCACTCACACATGGTATAATCAAGTGCCAGCCAGAGAGGTGGGGGCAAGCTCAGGGGACTGCCTTTGGGGGATCCATGTAGGCTGGGTTGTACGGAGGCTGACTGGCTGGGTAGGGTGCAGCTGATCCCCCTGAAAGTAGAGAGAACATGGGTTAGTTGTGGGTGTGTTGGGCTGCAGTGTGAGTCAGGAGGCAAGCTAACAGGAAGGAACCCTGGGATGATACCTGAGTAGAGGCATGAGTTGGGGAACTAGAAAGGGTCACCAAGCCCAGAGCAGTACTCACCAGCCAAGGTCTCGTGATAGGTCGGTGGGCCCATAGGCTGGGCTGGGTAGGGCGGTGGGTACTGTGTTGGGTAGGGTGCTGCTGGCATTCCTGGCTGGGGAGGCATCGGGTGATAGCCCTGGTACGTTGGTCCAGGGTAGCTGGGGGGCACACTTGGAGGTTGAGGGTAAGGGGCATGCACCACAGTAGTGGATGTGGTGGTGGTCACGACAGCTGCAAAGAGAATCCTGATTAGTCAAGACCCTTCAGCTCCCCAGATTTTGAGGCTAGGCCTGCCCTGCCATCCCTTCAGCTTAAGCAAAGCAGGGCCATGGTCAGCAACCCTTGCCCACTCAAGGATCTACATGTACACACAAAGAGGGGCACAGGAGGGCAAGAAAGGGAAAGGCATTACTTACGGCGTGGTCGGCGACACATCTTGTATAGACAGCAACAGGAGCAGGTAAAGCAGATGATGATGGTGACAACAGAGAGCACAAAGATGGTCAGGCCAATGGCGACAGTCGCTCCAAACCTGTCAAAAGAGTCAGTTGTGACCTGAGGCCTCTCACCCTTCTCCAGTCCTTCTGCTCCCAGGGCCAGCTAACCCTCTTGGCAAAAGAGACTTTGGAGGGGCTGGAGAGATGGGTCAGCAGTTAAGAGCACTGACTGCTCTTGCAAAGGACCGGGGTTCGATTCCCAGCATCCACATGGCGGCTAACAACCATTTGTAACTCCACTTCCAGGGGATCCAATACCCTCTTCTGTCCTCTGTAGGCAGTGCACAGCATGGGTGCACTCACATTCATGGATGTGTAATACTCATACACATAAATTTTTTTTTTTTTTTGGTCTTTTTGAGACAGGGTCTCCCTGTAGCCCCAGCTGTGCTAGAACTCACTATGTAGACCAGGCTGGCCTTGAACTCACAGAGATCCACCTGCCTCTGCCTCCCAAGTGCTGGGACTACAGGCATGCACCACCACGCCCGGCTATATACATAAAATTTTTTTTAAATAACTTTTTTTAATTTAAGAGAGACTTTGGGAAATGTCCTGGTTGTATAGCATGAATCTGTTTCAGCCTCAGTTTTCTCATGTATAAAATGGGGCTACTGTTTATGAAAGTTTATGAAAGCCCCTCCCCCAGGCCTGCTCCCCACATCGGATTTAGGAGGAGCCCTGCCCCTACACCTTGTCCTCCCCCACCAACCAAGTAGCATGTGCCACAAGTCAGACACATGGGATCTGAGCCAAAACAGGCTACAATGAACATGTGCCGAGGACACTGCCCCTTCACTACAGCCTTTCTGTGTGGCGAGCTCCAGGCCAGCTGGCTGCGTGCATCCTAGGCTCCCCCATGGTACAACAAGATAGGCCCTTCCAAAGACAGGAAGCTAAGAACAGACAGAATGGTGGAGGGGCTGGGTGGAGGCAGCAGTGCTTTCTGGAAAGAGGCCTCCCAGCCCAACCCAGGCACCCATGGAATTGAGAGCCTGCCCTGACTATTCTCCCAGGTTCCCAAGGCCCATGCTATAGTGTAATGAAAACAAATCACCTGGCAGCTGCAGCAAGTACATTCAAAACCTAAAGGTAGCTCCAGGGCATCAGCCCCTCTAAGGTCAGAGAGGAAGCATGTGGGTACTACCCCACCCCACCCAGTCTCGAGGTTCTGAGTCTTCCAGATCTCAGCCCAGAAGAACAACACAACCTCAGTTGGGCCCCTCAGCCAAGTAACAGACATAAGGACAGACCCCTCATACACCATGCTCAAAAACACCCAGCCAAGCTCCCAAAACAGGAGCCTTCACTACCATGTGGCCCAGGACAAGCATCCAAGACAGGACTGTGGAACCATAGGTGTCTCCCTGCCCAGTCAGAGGCAGGAATGGAAGAAAACACACATTCACACAGTCAGTGGCATGCATGGCAGGTCCAGTGTCTCTCTGCCTCTCTAGAATGTGCCTGCTCACCCCATGTTAGCCTCCTCCTTCACCAGGGGGAATTCCTGCAGCCCGCAGCCCAGACTTCCCCTCTTTTCATATGGGGATACTCAATTTCAACCGCCTCCCCTTTCAGGGAAAAGGAAAGCGAATCTCCTCCTCAGTCCTTCCCATCCCTGACGTCAGCAACAGGAAGGACAGACACACAGGTCGTGCAGCCAGCCTCTTAAAGACACAGCATGGCTCAGGCACCATCAACAGTTCCAGCAGTCAGGAAGGAGCCAGGAGGTGTTGGCCTGGAAACAAGGCTTGAGACACTTTCCTAGCCCAGCCCCACCTGGCTCTAAATGCAGCCCAGCTTTAGCCTAAGCCTGGGGAAGGGGGAGGGCTCTACCCATCCCACAGACACACAAGCAACATCCAGCCAACCCAGCCAGCTGCCCCCCTTTGTTCCTCTTCTCCCACTAGCTGCTCTCCAAGCTGGTAACAAACCTAACACTGCCACACCCTGCTAGATCATGCTTCCCCTTGCTCTAATGCCTAAGGCTTCTCCAGCTCCTGGGATGACAGGAAATTGCTTTATGATCTCTTGTGAAACTGTGTACTACTTTTCTGTCTGTATAACATGGTTAACAACTAAAGAAGAATAAAAAAATCCAGGGTTTGTCTAACTATAGTAAAACTTAAAAGAAAGGAAATTTCAATCTTTAATTAAAAGTTTAGTTGGGTGTAGTAGCACACATGGCATCCCAGCAAACAAACAAATTAAGTAAAACCCTTTGATGGAGGGTGGGGGGCATGGAGAGATGATGGCTCAGCAGTTAAGATCACTTGCTCTTGCAGAGGACCCAGGTTCAGTTCCCAGCACCCACATGGAGCAGCTCAAACTGTAACTCCAGTTTTTAGGGGCTCCAATGCCCTCTGACCTCCAAGGGCACTGTACGACACAGGTGCACTTACACACATGCAGGAAATACACCCATACACATAAAATTTTTAAAAAATTTAAAACCCTACTGTACCCACAAAGCCAAGTGCAGCCTAGGACTCTCACCCTCCTCTTATCTCTGCACTAGCCAGATCATACTCCTTTCATCTTTTCACCAGTGTCCTGCCTCAGCTTTTGCATGCAGGCCTTCTACCTGGAAGGCCCTTCCCTACCCTCCACCTTTACTTCCACCTAATAATTACTGTTCAGTTCTCAGACCTCAGCCCAAAACATCACTTCCAATGGGGCACATTTCTTTTCTTTTCTTTTTCTTTGTTGATTTTATGTGTGTGAATGTATTGCTTGCATGTATGCAAGTGCATCCGTGAAGTACAATTGCCACAGAGGCCAGAAGAGGGTATCGGATTCCCTGGAAAAGGAGTTACAGATGGTTGTCAGCCACTGTGTGGGTGCTGGGAACAAAACCCAGGTCCTCTGTAAGAGCAGCCAGTGCTCTTAACGGCTGAGCCATCTCTCCAGACCCAAGTACACATTTCTTGACTATGCAAATGTCAGGATCTTTGGCTAATGCTCTTATAGAATTAAATCCAGGTCCATTTAAGATAGCTCAGTGGGTAAAGGCACTTATAGCCAAAACTGATGACCTGAGTTTGATCCCTCAGACTCACATGGTGGGAGAACCAACTTCCTCAAGTTGTTCTCTGACCTCCACATATGTGCCGTGGTATGTACACACCCATACACAAAATGTAATAATAGAATTAAATTTCTTTCTACCTTAATTTGTAAATATGTACTCCTTTCTTGAGCATTTTATTAGTTGATCCTGTACCTGCTTTGAGCCATCACTGTATTATCTGTGTGTGGGTGGGTGGGTGGCTGTATGGGAGGTATGGGGGGTTAGAGGGGTGTATTTGAAGGGGTGGGAGGTATATGTGTACATGGGTGTATGTGGGGGTGGGGGTATGTGGGGGTGGGTATATGTGTGTGGGGGTGTATGTGTGTGGGTGTATGTGTGTTACTAAGGATTGAAGTAGGGCCTCGGGCATGCTAGTCAAGCACTCTACCACTGAGCTACAACCCCAGACTTCTTTTCACTTTTTCTTTTTGTATGGGGGGACAGTTAATTTTATAAGTAAAGTGGTTTGCCTGCATGTATGTAAGTGCACCTGTGTCATGCAATGCCTGTGGAGGCCAGAAAAGGGCATCAGATCCCCTGGAATTGGAGTTACAGATGATTGTCACCATGTGGGTGCTGAGAACTGAACCCAGGTCCTCTGCAAGAGCAGTCAGTGCTCTTAACCACTGAGTCATCTCTCCAGCACCCACCCCCTTTGTTTATATTTTGTTTTTTGTTTTTGAGACAGGGCCTCCCTATAGCCCCAGCTGGCCTGAAACTCATTATGTAGACCTGGCTATCCATCTCACAGAGATCCACCTGCCTCTGTCACCCAAGAGTTTCTTTTTTTTTTTTTTTTTTTTTTTTTTTTTTTTTTTGAGGTCGGGCCCCCCTACTCCCCCCCCCGGCCTTAAACTCATTATGGATCCCGGTCTTTCCCTCCCCCAGAATCCCCCCCGCCTCCGTCCCCCAAAAGTTTTTTTTTTTTTTTTTTTTTTTAAGATTTGTTTTTAATTATGTGCATGTGTGTATGTCTGTGGGAGTATGTACACAAGAATACTGTTGCCCATGGAGGCCAGAAGAGGGCACTGGATCCCCTGGAGCCCCTAGTGGTTGTGAATGGCCATATGTGGATGTTGGGCACTGAACTTGGGTCCTCAGCAAGAGCATTATGTGCTCTTAACTGCTAAGCCATCTCTCCAGCCCCCATATCATAGTTTCTTAATATTTAAAAAATGAATTAATAGCCAGGCATGGTGGTGCATACCTGTAGTCCCAGCACCTGGGAGGCAGAGGCAGCCAGATTTCTGTGAGTTCAAGGCCAGCCTGGTCTACATAGTGAGTTCCAGGACAGCTGGGGCTGTAAGGGGACCCTGTCTCAAAAAGACAAAAAAAAAAAAAAAAAGGAATTAATAAATTCACTCTATGATCCCATGAACCACTAAGAAAAAATAGGCATGACACTTTTGAGCAAGCCAAGCAACACTCGAGGGGTAGTACAAAGTGTGGCAGGGACACACAGCCACAGCAAGCTCAGGTACTAACAGAACCACACCTCCAAAAAGGAATGGGGCCTGCCAAGGCCTAGGCTACTTTGATCAAAGAGTCTAAAGATCAGAAGGCAGAGTCAGCCACACTGAATGAGGACCTACGCTATGCAGGATGTGATAACTCAGGACCTAACAGATGTAGGTTCTTCTAGAGACTTGCTCTGACCTGTAGCTCAGAAGGTGAAAACCAAAAATGAGGAGAAGGTCAATGGAAAGTGGGGGCAGAGCTGGTGCAGACTCCCAGTCCAGAGTCTTTCCTCTGTGGGCTTCTCTGGGCTCCGAGCCATGGCCTGGGCAACAGGAGGTGAACTTCACCATGGAGTCAACTCCATGGACAAACAGTGCCTTTAGCCAAGGAGGCAGCACACACATGCCCAGCAGAGAGTGTCCCTCGAGAATGTTCATAAGACAGGTGTCACGGATGGCCCCGTCCTTCAACCTCTTTTGTGCACAATTCTGGGGCTCTGAAGAAAGAAGTCCCAGGAAACTGCTCTTCCCCCAGCAGGAATCTGTTCTCCTCCTCCCTCTCTATACATCCAGTTGTCTCTGCCACTGCCAATAAAGCCCCTCCACAGTGTCAGGCACCTGAATGGAAGGATCTCCACAGAGCTGTCTCCATTCACCCTACACACTTCCAATTCACTCTTCAATATGCTGTGCTGGGCAGCTCTTGCTGAGGGTGCCATGCCTGTGTGGGGTACCATTGCTCACTCACAGTGCAATTCACAGTGCTCCAAACCAGCTGCCTTCCCACCCCCAACCCCAGCCCTCCCTCTCAGCTCCTCCTGCCACCATTTCTCAAAGGTTGGAGGTCTCCAGTTTCCATCATCCACTCGCTCTTCTTACCAACACCTGAGCCTTCCACCCTAATCCCGCTAGCATCCTGCATCTATCAGGCATCCGCATGCAGGGCTAGACCTCTGGCCATATGCCCAGAGCAGAGACCAGGACAGCTCCTCCATCTGCCCATTTTCTCGTTCCTTGCTGGCAAGTCACCAACCCAGCCTCCATCCTGGCCTTCTAACACCTCTGACCAGAAAGTCACAGCCTCTCCCAGTGGCTACCTGCCATGTTGACCTGTGTGTTCTTCCCACCTCTGTGGAAAGCCAGGCTGTGAAAGCACCACACAGATCCTAGCACTGTCCAGAACCCCTGCAGTTCAAGACAACACCCATTCCTGAGCCGTCCCAAGCCTATACTGGCTGGGTGTCACAGTCTCTTGTAGGCAACCTCCAAGCCCACCTTGTGGATCCCCATATGGGAGGGGTTCTCCTGGATGTGGAAGAAGAGAGGCCCATGGAAGAAGAGCCCCAAAGAAATCTCTGTCCAGCCTCTCCCTTCCTGAAGGAAGGAAGGAGCTGCACTTCTTCCCTCCCACACTCGGGGGCCCCTTACCCCCAAAGTCTCTGGAGCCAATCTTCTTTCTTCCAAAAGGATAGTCAGACTGTGTGGGGGTGGAGGAGCTTCTTCTGAAAGGGGCTGTCAAATCCCCACCAGAGCTAAGACCAGGGCCAGATGGCTCATGGAACAGACTCCAGCTGGGAAAATACACATATTCCAGTATAGTCCAACCATGTGAATGCAAGGCTTGTTTTGTGGCATGAGATGGTGATAAGAAGAGAGGGCAGGAAAGTGCACAGTAGCTCACACCTATAATTCCAGCATTCAAGAGGCTAAGGGGACTGTTCTGGACTAACCAGGACTACATAGTTGAGTTCCAGGCTAGCCTGAGCTACAGAGTAAGACCCTGTCTGCAAACAAACAAAAAGAGGCTAAGGATATAGCTCAGTTGCTACAGTACTTTCCTATCATGAGGCCTTGGGTTTGATCCTTAGTACTGCATAAGCTGGGAATGGTGGTACATACCCATAATCCCAGCACTAGGGATGGGGAGTCAGGAGGATCAGGAGCTCAAGGTCACCCTCAGCAACATATGGTCAAGATTAGCCTGCGTTCCATGAGGCCCTGTCTCAGGAAAGAAGGAAGGAAAGGAGTGAGGGACAGAAGAAAGACAAAGCAGAAATGTAGCCAAGAAGACTAGGGATTGGAGCACAAGGTTGCTCCCTGATCCCCCAAGATGAAGGTTCCAATACAGTGCCTGTGATCCACAAACCTCACACAGCGACAGTGGCACATTTGCTGTCTTAGCACCTCTACCCTACTGTCATCATACCATCACTACACACTCACTGCCCTCATCACTGTCACCAGAGCCACCATTATCTCACCACCATACAGCCACCACCACTGACCCTCTGACTACCACTGCCCCATCATCACCACCACCTCACTGTACTGCAGTCCCTACCAACTGTCACTTCCTCCTCCATCACCTCTACCCATCCAGCACCTGCTACCCCATGCCATCACCCTGGTCAATATGGGTCCCACTCCTGGCCTTTCAATTTTCAGCCCCCAACCAGTTACTCCCATCACCCCTCTCCCCAGCACACTTAGGAAACCCAGATCTCTGGCAGGAGAATCAAAAGTCCCAATGGGCAGACGTGGTCACAGCTTCTCTGGGTGCCACCTCAATGACTCTGCACAGTCTTACTCCTTGCAGGTCTCACCCAAGCCCACCTGAACCCTTGTCACTTCTGCCAGGAAGACAGACACAGTCTACAGGCTTTAGTTACCCTGACATGGGGTCACTGTCAAAGCTGGATCGAAATCTTAGTGCCGAGCCCAGCTGCTCCAATGTCTCCGGCTGGGTGGAAAATCTGCAAACAGAAAAGAAAGCTCATAAAGAACACACGTGAACCCCACCTGTGCCTCACAAAACACCAGCTTAGGGCACAGAGAACATTCCAAGAATGGATGGCATACACACCAGGCTCTCGGGCCACACGCTGTTCAAGAGAGAACCAAAGTCTCCTGGACACAGTGCTTATAAGGTCAGGAAAGAAGCCTGAGCTGATCTCAAAATTTAGATACAGAAAGTACCTTCTCTGACCACAACAGGATGAAGGTAGAAACCAATAGTAAAATACTACATTGCCACAAAGTTAAAAAACAAAAGGGGAAAAAAAAAAAAAAGGCCACCACCAACCCAACAACAACCTTATACTTTGGAAAACTAACAAACAGGGTACAAAAAGACAAAAGCAAAAAAAACAAAAACAAAGTGTGAGCTGTACTGGGTCAAACAGGCATTGTGACAAAGACCTGGAATCTCAGCACTGGAGACTGAGGCAGGAGGATCCTGTGATTGAAGCCTGCCTGGCCTGTACAGCAAGATGCTAAGGAAGGACAGAAAAGTGGGGTGGGGAGAGGGAGAGGAAGGAAAGGCAGAGAGAGGGAGAGGGAGAGGAGAGGGAGAGGGAGAGGAAGAGGGAGAGGGAGAGGGAGACGGAGATGGAGAGGGAATCATGAAGGAAATTGAAATTAACAGATATGAAGAACTGAATGAAAATATTGTAAGTCAAAAGACACAAAACAAGAGCCATGGTAGCACACACCCAAAATCCCAGCATGCATAAGGGCAGGAAGACCAGGAATTCAAGGACAGTCTTAACTTCATAGGAAGTTGAAGACCAGCCTAGGTTGTATGAGACTCTGCCTCAGACAAACAAAACAGGCAAAATTCATGAAATGGCTTAAATAATTCTTAGAAGGAAGTGAATATCATTACTAGAATTTATGAAGGAGGAAAAAAAAGTGAGACACAGCTGGATGTCCTGATTCATAATTCTAGCACTCGGGATGCTGAGGCAGGAGGATTACTTTAAGTTCAAGGCCAATTTAGGCTACAGAGACCTTGTCTGGAATTTTTTTTTTTTTAATTTTTAAGACAGGGTCTCCCTGTAGCCCCAGCTATCCTGGAACTCACTATGTAGACCAGATTGGCCTCAAACTCACAGAGATCTACCTGCCTCTGTCTCCTGAGTGCTGGGATTAAAGGCATGCACCACCACACCCAGCACTTGTCTGGAAATTTTTAAAAAATTTAAAAAAAAAAGAAAAGCTGTACAGCAATCTGCATGCCTGTAACCCCAGAATTTGGAGTTGAGGTCAGAATTCAAGATCTTCCTTGGTTTACTTAACAAATTCAAGGCCAGCCTTCGTTAGGCTACATGAGACATTATTTTACAAAGAACCCCCCCCCACACACACACACACCACACACAAAGCCCAGCATGGTGGTACACATCTTTAATCCCAGTAAAGGCAAGCAGATCTCTGTGTGTTACAAGCCAGCAGTCCAAAAAAAATAAAAAATAAATAAATTCACTGTGAGGGTGGGGTTATGTGCTTGCTTAGTAGGTGCTACACCCAGGGTTTCAGGGTTTTTTAGCATCTCAAAAACAAAAATCACTGTAAAGGCTGGACATATAACTCAGCATGTATGAGGTGGATTTGACCCCAGCACCATTAGAAAAAATCAGGGCTGGAGAGATGGCCTTAGCTGTTCAGAGAACTGACTGCTCTTGAAGAGGACCCCAATTCAATTCCCAGCACCCACATGGATGTCTAACAGCAGTTTGTAACTTCAGTTCCTCTTCTGGCCTCCATGGGCATTACATGAACATTGTGCACTTACATAATGCAGGCAGAGCACTCACTCATACACATAAAATAAAAATAAATAATTTTAAAAAATCAATGTGAAGCTGGTTGTGGAGGTATATGCCTTTAATTCCACCATTTGGGAGCCTGAAAATGAGGATTTTGAATTCACGGTCATTCTGGGCTACATAACAAGACTTTTTTTTTTCTTTTTTTTTCTTTTTTTTAACAAAGCAAATGTAGATTTATTAAGGAAAAGTGAGAAAAGAACTCCCAGGAATGGGAACTCGGGAGAGACTCCAAGGGCAGAATACCTCAGACCCTGACTTCAAAGACCCAGAATCAAGTATGACATCTTCAGGGATGTCAAGGTGCAATGGAGACTACAATATAATGAGGCTGGGAACAGAGATCATGGAATTGAACCCACTGCCCAAAGTCCTTATCCTGGAGGCTTTACCCAGTTTCAGAGGGGCAGCTGGGAGGCTGAGAACCACTTCTGGAATTTTGGGGAGGCCACAGTGGTAAGATGAGAGCCACAGCCCACAGAATGTAGACCTCCTGATGGCCCCATCACTTGGGCCAAAACCTGAAAAGCTGTACCTCACCAGGAAGGAGAAACTGGATGGACCAGTCCTAATCATCTCAATCTCTGTAATTGGCTAATGTCCTCACGGAAGTCACAGAAAGAGTCCTGGGCTCCAAATTCCTCCAATCAATTTTACAAATGCAATATTAGGCATACAATCAAACCTTTCAGGAACACTAAGAGACTAGACAATATGAACAGAAAACTATAGCAATAATTGACAGTAAGAACATCCTGGGCAGACACTGACATCATAGTAACAAAAACACACTATTTATTTAAATGGTAAATAGGGGGATGGAGAGATGGCTCAGTGGTTAAGAGCACTTGCTGCTCTTCCTGAGGACCAGGTCCTAGCACCCAAGTCAGACACCACAACTACTCAAAACTCCAGCTCCAGGGAATCTGACACCCTCTCCTGACCTCCATAGGCATCTGCATTCACATACATTAACCCACACACATTCACATAATTAAAATAAACCACCCAAGCATGGTGGCACATGCCTTTAATCCCAGCACCCAGAAGGCAGAGGCAGGCAGATATCTGTGAGTTCAAGGTTAGCCTGGTCCATATAGCAAGTTCCATGCCAGCCAGGGTTACATAGTAAGATCCTGTTTCAAAAATAAACCTGGGCATTGCGGTGCATGCCTTTAGTCCCAGCACTTGGGAGGCAGAGGCAGGCGGATCTCTGTGAGTCCAGGGCCAGCCTGGTCTACATAGTTCCAGGCCAGCTGGGGCTACAGGGAGACCCTGTCTCAAAAAGACCAAAATAACAATAGTACTAGTAGTAGTGTAGTAATAAACAAATCATATATATATATATAGTGAAAATAAAAAAGAACAAACGGGCCAGCAAACAAGATGGCTCAGCAGATAAAGGCACTTGCCACCGCCACCAAGCCTGACAACCTGAGTTCAGTCTTTCAAGTCTCATACTGTGGAGGGAGATAACTGACTCTCAAAAGTTGTTCTTTGACTTCTGACTTCCACATCTGCAGTAGGCATAAGTGTGTGTGTGTACACACACATAAATAAATGGGGTTTTTGTAATGCCTAAAGAATAAACAGTGGGGCTGGTAAGAACAGGGGGTGGGCCAGCAAGACAGCTCAGCAGTAAAGGTGCTTGCTGCCAAGCCTGACAGCCTGAGTTCGAACTCCAGAATGAGAAAACCAGCTCCTGCAAGTTGTCTTCTGACCTTTGTGTGCTTGCATGTGCAGGCTGGTGGTATACACACTTATAAACAAAATAAATAAATGTAACAAAGAATAAACAGTGAGGGACTGTAGAGATGGCTCAGTGGTTAAGAGTACTGGCTGCTCTTGCCGAGGTCCCAGGTTCAGTTCCCAGCACCCACATGGTGGCTAACAACCTTCTGTAACTACAGTTCCAGGGGATCGGATGCCCTCTTCTGACCTCCATGGGCACTGCATGACACAGGTGTACTTATATACATACAGACAAAACAACATTCCTATACATAAAATAAAAAGGTTTTGTTTTGTTTTGTTTTCTTCATTTAGGCCATTCTCCTGTGCAGGAGGCAGCCATGGCACCCAGCCGGAATGGCAAGATCCTGAAGCCCCCTTCCACAATGACTGGCAGCAGCGAGTGGACACTGGGTCAAGCAGCCAGCATGAAAGTACCGCAAACGCAAGGCCTGGCAGGCGAAAGCATGCCACATTGCCCCTTGTCCCGCATCCCGACGCATCTGGCCCAAACTGAGGTGCCCCATGGTGAGATACCATGCCAAAGTCCGAGTTGGCAGGGGCTTCAGCCTGGAAGAGCTCAGGGTGGCTGGCATCCATAAGAAAGTGGCCTGCACCATCAGCATCTCTGTGGACCCAAGAGGAGAACAAGTCCACGGAATCCCTACAGGCTAATGTGCAGCGGCTGAAGGAGTACTGCTTTAAGCTCATCCTCTTCCCCAGGAAGCCTTCTGCCCCCAAAAGGGAGACGGCTCTGCTGAAGAACTCCAGTTGGCCAACCAGCTAACAGAACCAGTGATGCCCATCCCGAATGTCTATAAAAAGGAGAAAGCCAGAATCATCACAGAGGAAGAGAAGAACTTCAAAGCTTTTGGCAGTCTGTGCATGACCTGTGACAATGCCCAGCTCATGGGCATTCCAGCAAAAAGGGCCAAGGAAACCGCAGAGCAAGATGTTGAGAAGAAAAAGTAATGCTCTGTTGGGCCATTATAATAAATTTTCAGAAAATGAAAAAAAAAATCATAAAAAAAAACAAGAATGGGGCTGGAGAGATGGCTCAGCAGTTAAGAACACTGGTTGTTTTTGCAGAAGACCGGGGTTCGAATCCCAGAACCCACATGGCAGCTAACAACTGTCTGTAACTCCAGTTCCAGGGGATCTGACACCCTCTTCTGACCTCCTTGGGCATTGCACAACACAGGTGCATTTACACATATGCAGGCAATACATGCATACACATAAAATAATAAAAAAGTTTAAAAAAAACAATGACAATAAAGGGAAGAAGAATGTAAAAAGACAAAGATTGAACAACTCTGAAAACTTGAACTATCTTAGAAAGGTGGCTGAAGAGCTCTGAGTGCTTATGGTAAATGCAAGAGAGAAATGAATCAAAGACAGGATTAGGCAGAAAG